GGATATTAAGTGTCTTTGACTTTTCCTTTCTATTTTCAATATTCTCTTCTATTTCTACCACTATATAGTAACTTCAAACTTGATTTAATTTCTTTTTCTAATTCTTAGAACTAGAAGATAAAATTAATTAAATTGAGATTGAAGTACAGTAAAAATGGACATCTACTTTATATACTTTTCCTATTTTTTAAATAAAGTTAAAGTAGTAATTATGGATAATGATTACTTAATTTCTTACATTTTGCAAATTGGCGTCTGATTTATGAAAAGATGAGGTGGAAACGATGGAGTCTGTAGAAGTATTTATGTTAGAAATTTTATTGTAAGCAATTGTACCAGTCGAGATTAAGTGTAATTAAGTTAATTCGATAAAAATTTTGATCCAAATCTCAATAACGCTACATTCCGAAGTTTCTTAATAATCGAACAATTCGAGCGCTTTTAGTTACATATCAAAAATACAATTTCAGTTAGATAGTTATGAAAAAAAATTTATGCAGTTCGATCTCTAAGGACTAAAGTTATCATATCTGAATCACAAGAGAGTATTTACAAATGTACAAAAAGAAATGATAATTCTAAGACAGAAGGAGAGAATATAATTTTTTCCATTAAGTGTGTGTGTGTAAGTATTTAATAAAATAAAACTTCCAAAATTATTTTTATTGACAATTCTTATTAATATAATTTTATGAATATAAAATTTTTATTAATGATTAGGTGTTGTATAATCTCAGGAAGAATACATGCATACCTAAAAAATGTACGGTTGGTAACTCTACACAGATCCAATCTCTGTAAAGTCACGTACGAATTCGAACGCGTGCTACATAAATAATTGAAACTTTGATACAAGATTGCATTTTATATTCGCGCGCCATTGTAAGGCGCGTTCGAAAAAATCTTCAGATCATTCTGTAATTAAAATAGATATATTAATTTAAAAATATTGAAAAGAGAAAAAAAGAAAAAAAATACAAAAATTTCATCTACAAAGAACAAATTTATAACGTTTGAGCGGGAAAACAAAGAAGGCTGAAAAGTGTAGAAAAAATTGCATTTGGAAAAGAGCGGATGAATTCGACCGGAAATGGCTGATTTCAGGCGTATAACGGAACACGTGCAGCCGAGTTTTCAACGCGCGATTGATTCTGCATTACGAGGAATTTTCCTTTTTATTGGATAAAAGTAATGAAATGTATCTGTCGAATAAGGAGATGAAGAGCTCGATTCTGTATTTTGAAACGAGATGAAAATAAGAAAAGTGAGCAAATTTACTAACCGTGTTGATTAATGAAATTATAAATATTTTAGTAAATTCGCTCACTTTTGTGATTTTCACTTCAAGATACAGAATCAACCCCCAGAAGAAGTTAGAGGTCCGATTAAATGATCGATTCTGTATTTTGAAACGGGATGAAAATGAGAAAAGTGAGCAAATTTACTAACCTGTTGATTAATGAAATTATAAATATTCTAATAAATTCGCTCACTTTTGTGATGTTCACTTCAAGATACAGAATCGACCTCCAGAAGAAGTTAGAGGTCCGATTAAATGATTGATTAAATGATTGTTCTTTGGTGTTCTTTAGAGATCGTTCAAAATTGGCGCCAGACAGGTAGCTTTCGACGTCTCGAGATGGCGCTGTGGGGCTGAGAGGAACTACTTTGGCGGAAGTTGGGCGACGGTTGTCGTGCGGCCGAGGGTATATAAACGCGCGCAAGAAGTCGCACGACGCTTTTCTGCCTCAGTAAGAGTAGAGTTGTGTTCGCGTGTGGTTGTGTGTGTTTCCTTTTTCCCTGAAATAGGCCACACAACCTTCCATTCCGTGAAACTAACTCTCCTAGAAAAACCCAAAAAAAGTAAAAAATTTCCGTAAAAAAACGCATACAAAAAAATCGCAAAACCGTAGGCGAAAAACCGTCGTAACCTCGGGTAACAGCGTGGTGATAAAAAAAAAAAAGAAAGGAAGAGAAGTGAGTACAAGCCAGATAGTGCGTGAAACCGTCGAAGTCGTCAGAGAGAAAACAGACGGAAAGATCCAACGTCTAACCCAACAGGCACGCGAAAAAAAATATCCACCCAGACACGCACGAGGCAGAAGCGGAAGAGATTTAAAGAGAATTAAAGAGGAAAGCGTGTGTGCGAGAGACCTTGCGAGCGACGAGGTCACGAGCCAGGTCCTTTGGTAGATAAGCCATATTGCGAGGTAGAGCGAAAGCGAAATCGTTCACGCACGTAAAAAGAGACGTCGTTCGCGTCTCTCAACTCCGGGCGTGATACCGATATTCCGCAACCTTCGCCGTCGTCGTTGCCGCCATGAATCCTGGTGCGCCCAACTACCCCATGGCCTCGCTCTACGTGGGCGACTTACACACCGACATCACCGAGGCGATGCTGTTCGAGAAGTTCTCGTCGGCTGGACCTGTGCTGTCGATCCGCGTATGCCGTGACATGATCACCCGCCGCTCGCTTGGCTACGCATATGTCAACTTTCAGCAACCGGCTGATGGTGAGTCATTGCCATCGTTGTCGTAATCGTCATTTTAGAATAGCTCTGAATTCCCGTGATGATGGTGATGATGAATGTGAAAATACTGATGGAAACGATGAAGTAGTGGTCAACGTGGTGACGCAACGTGGGTTCGCCAGAATGGCCGCCTGCTGCGTGCCACACACGTGCTGCGCTAATGTGTCCACCATTGCACCCACCATGTTGGATCCACGTCCTCGCTCCACTGTTAATGATAGTTAACGGTTAAACGGAATTGCCACGGGAGGGGAAGGCTATTTTCTTTTTTTCCCTTTTGTCCATTTCTACCAATAGATCTACTTTAATTTCGGTTTAATTTACTTTGCATTTCTTTTTCCATTTCTAAGAATTAGAGCAACATAAAAAGTAAGTTAACCCCTTCAGACCTGATTTTAATGGAATTGTGTTAAAAAAAATTTTTTTAATTCAATTCTAGGACACTTTAATAAGTAATTCATACTGAAAAATGATTTTTAATTTGGACTGTTCCAAACAGACATTATTATCTGGTCTTAGATGACGTTGATAATTAAATAATTTCAATGGACAATGTCTTGTTAATGGTAGTTAACAGTTAAACGGAATTGCCACGAGAGGGGAAGGCTATTTTTTTTTTTCCCTTTTGTCCATTTCTACCAATAGATTTACTTTAATTTCGATTTAATTTACTTTGCATTTCTTTTTTCATTTCTAAGAACTAGAGCAACATAAAAAGTAAGTTATCCCTTCAGACCTGATTTTAATGGAATTGTGTTAAAAAAAATTTTTTTAATTCAATTCTAGGGCACTTTAATAAGTAATTCATACTGAAAAATGATTTTTAATTTGGACTGTTCCAAACAGACATTATTATCTGGTCTTAGATGACGTTGATAATTAAATAATTTCAATGGACAATGTCTTGTTAATGGTAGTTAACGGTTAAACATAATTGCCACGAGAGGGGAAGGCTATTTTCTTTTTTTCCCTTTTGTCCATTTCTACCAATAGATCTACTTTAATTTCGGTTTAATTTACTTTGCATTTCTTTTTCCATTTCTAAGAACTAGAGCAACATAAAAAGTAAGTAACCCCTTCAGACCTGATTTTAATGGAATTGTGTTAACAAAATTTTTTTTAATTCAATTCTAGAATACTTTAATAAGTAATTCATACTGAAAAATGATTTTTAATTTGGACTGTTCCAAACAGACATTATTATCTGGTCTTAGATGACGTTGATAATTAAATAATTCCAATGGACAATGTCTTCAAATTTGATGTATATTACAATGCATCGTACACAAGGTTTTGAAGGGGTTAAGCGGGGAGCACAGACTCTTGCATAACGTATAACATGTAATGCATAAGAAAATGAACTAATCAAAGTCCTTCGTTTCCTTCCTTTCCATGAAATAAAGAACTTTGATTGGATGAACTTTTTATGCCTTATGTGTTGTGCGTTATGCAAGAGTCTGTGCTGCCCGCTTTAAGCTGAAATTAAAATTAATCTTATACATTGATAGAAACTTATAAATCAGAAACGAGAACCAATGTAAGCCAATACAGGATAGTTTGTAAAACTTTTATATATTAATATTAATAAAAAATAATAAACATTTCGACCACAATTTAGGTCATCTTTAATGTAAAATCGAAAAATTAATAAAATATTTAAAATCTTATTGATCAATACTCAAATTTGCTTACTTTTATAATTTGCACCTTGTTTTAAAATACACAATTAACCTCCTGGAGACCCATAAAAATAAAAGGCTTGTTCTTTGTGGCTGAACTAGTATACACTTGTACACTATACTTAAAGTAAAATAATATTTAAGATTTAGCAAGAGTGAGAAAGAAAATTTCAGTGCAGTCTAGTGAAGCGATACAGAATAGGTCTATAGAGATGAATGATTTTTTTCAACTGCCTGACGTTTACCTGAGTTTTACCTGAGATTGAAATTTCAACGTTACAAAAATAAAAGATTATTTCCAAATTTTTTTACAATGTGTAAGTTTTCTCCATTCATAGATTTAGGGTAGGTCAAAATGTGCTTTGCCCTTAGTTCTTATTTAACCTTTTGTTACGTGAATTCAATTTGTGGAGACAAATTCTTATGTCATGTGCGCGTGTTCATGTTTTTCTTACTTTACATGAAAAAAAATTACTTTATAAAATAAAAGCGAATTCGATTGAATGTGCTCAGTGCACATTTATACACATTAAAGCTATTGTACATCAATTGATGTAAAAATGTGTATTTAAAATTAATATAAAACCGGGTTGAATAGCCCGGCTATAGCTAAATTGTTCCATATTTTATGCTTTCTAAATTTTATTTCTTCCTTCATATTTCCTTTAAGATTCAAATCAATAAATACGTGTCGTTTTGAAAGCAGAAAAATATAGCTATAATTACAGATCTAGGAATGAAAAACAAGCATAGAAAATCATTTTTTTTTCTTTATAGAAGACATGCAAAGACTTCACTTCTTTATTTGTTTAACCTTGAATCTAAGAAAATGGAGGTTTTGTTCTTTTGCAAAACTCGTCTGAGCTTTATATAAATCCGTTTACAAAAGAATCTGTATCTTTTGTTTGTCATAAAATTTTACAATCGTCTTTTACAAAACATAGTAGCATTCACAAATTATGCAATAATATTTTTCGCGAGCGTGATCACTTCCAAATTAATCGATAATAATTAAAAAGTAATGGATGATATGTATATAAAATTAACGATAAAAGATAATTTACCTTTGCTCCAACTGTAAATTATCTTCTTTTTATCGAATCAAGAGGTTGTTATAGCTACTTTTCTTATCAATTCATGGAATGGCTTATAAATTTTTATCGGACAAATATGTTCTTTGATATGAGAGAAGAACTCTCTCTCTCTCTCTCTCTCTCTCTCATAGAAAATCATGATATGCAATTATGGTATTTCTCAACAATTGCTTACTGTAATGCATTTCAATGAATTAGTCAGTTTAGAACCATTCTTGTATGAATCAGTGTAAGTGATGTGGAACAAAAACGTTCTTCCACTATTTTAATAGATCTAATTCTGTAATTTTTAATTAAAAAATGTTATGCATTAAGATTTTGCAAATATATCTTCAGCTTATAAATTCTAGGTAATGGCAATTGTATGCATACGTTTGTATTTATTTGATGATAAGAAATCTGCTTTCGATAAAAAATGCGATAACATTTTTGAAACCATACTTGACTTTCACAAGGTCGACACGTTTGCATAAATACATTTGTGGACATTTATGTTTCAGCTGAACGCGCCCTTGATACCATGAACTTTGACATGATAAAAGGGCGGCCTATTCGGATCATGTGGTCTCAGCGTGATCCCTCCCTACGCAAGTCGGGCGTCGGAAATGTATTTATTAAGAATCTAGACAAAAACATAGACAATAAAGCAATGTATGATACATTTTCCGCGTTCGGTAACATATTGAGTTGCAAGGTTGCACAAGATGAATCGGGTGCGTCAAAGGGTTATGGCTTTGTACATTTTGAAACGGAGGAAGCGGCTAACAAATCTATCGACAAAGTCAACGGAATGTTGCTAAATGGCAAGAAGGTAAAGTAACGCTCTTTATCTATAGATTAAGACAAAAGTCATCGTTCGATTAATTGGTTTGTTGAGGCGGTTTTCTTCTACTTCTCAACATAAGACCAAGCTTGTGGGTTATGCTCATAGGTGTACGTTGGCAAATTCATCCCGCGCAAGGAACGCGAGAAAGAGTTGGGTGAGAAAGCCAAACTGTTCACGAACGTCTACGTGAAAAACTTCGGCGAGGATATGACCGAGGACAAGTTGAAGGACATGTTCGAGAAGTACGGGACCATTACAAGCCACAAAGTGATGAGCAAGGACGATGGCAAATCACGTGGCTTCGGATTTGTCGCGTTCGAGGACCCGGACGCTGCCGAACAGGCGGTGCTCGAATTGAATGGCAAGGAGATTGCCGAGGGCAAGTGCATGTACGTCGGGCGGGCCCAGAAGAAAGCCGAGCGTCAACAGGAACTTAAACGGAAGTTCGAGCAATTGAAAATCGAGCGGCTAAATCGATACCAAGGCGTGAATTTATACGTAAAGAATCTGGACGATACGATCGATGACGAGCGTCTGCGTAAAGAATTTACGCCGTTTGGCACGATCACCTCTGCGAAGGTGATGATGGAGGATGGACGTAGTAAAGGTTTTGGCTTTGTGTGCTTTTCGCAGCCGGAGGAAGCTACCAAAGCAGTTACCGAGATGAATGGACGCATCGTAGGTACTAAACCTCTCTATGTCGCTCTGGCGCAACGTAAGGAAGATCGTAAGGCACATCTTGCCTCTCAGTACATGCAGCGTATGGCGAACGTTCGCATGCAGCAGATGGGTCAGATATTCCAACCTAGTAACGCCGGCAGTTATTTTGTGCCTACGCTGCCACAGCCGCAGCGATTCTATGGACCCGCTCAGATGGCGCAGATTCGCGCGACTCCGCGCTGGCCGGCGCAACCGAATCAAGTACGACCGAACGCGCAGACTGGTACCTCCGGGTTCGCGTCTATGCAAGCTGCACCGTTCCGAGCGGCGCCGCGCGCTCCCGCCGCACAGGCTGGCGCTTTGCGAAACAGCATGTCCGCCAGACCTATCACAGGTGATTACTATGAGCATTACGATTTAGGCATTACAGATTTTTTGCGATAATACTGAAATCTTTTTATTGTTATTGTTTATATTATTTATTTTATGAAGGTTTTAAACCAAATATTAATCCTATAAGAATTTAAAATGTTTCAAGCCACTTTCGAATCTTAAAAGTTGAAAATATCTTGAATGGCTTGAACATTAAAAGAATTTACATTTTTTGAATTAATATTTTGAGAGTGCTTTTTAAAAATATAATTATTAATTGTTGACTATGTTTCTATTTATATATGTATTGAAAAATAGAAGGCGATTTTAAAATTAGATATCAAAGAAAAGATACATTTTTAACTTTTAGCGAAATATATGTATATCTGAATTAATTTTTAGATTTAAAAAAAATAATTATTAATCGTTGACTATACTTGTTATTCATGTTTGTATCGAAAAATGACAATTTTAAAATTTTATATATATATATATAAAGAAAAAAAGATACATTTTTAATATATTCTTTTAATACAATATAATTTCAATAATTTTATCATGAAGATTACATTATTAATCCATCACATTTCTTTTATATCTGTGATGGATGACTTTGTCATCCACTAAATTACAAAATTTTATTTATTACTCAATTTAAATAACTGGCTTTAAATATAAATAAATAAACGGAAGACCAAGCAGTGACAAATCTTAGAAATCTACATTATACTTTTGAAAAATAACTATGAAAACGAACTGTAGATAGAACAAGTATGTATTGATCAACATTTTTCACAAAATTTAGATTGCTTTGAAGTTTGTTAATGACGTATTTGTTTTTCTCTCGCGTTTTCTCTCTCAATCGAGATAAAAAATTAAATCGAATAGCATTATTCAAATTGGGAATGTTAAATTCTCTCGAAGATAGGTATATAAATACGTATATAAATATGCACACATAAATATGATATTTTGTTTTTATAAGTATTTTTATATGTATGTCTAAAGATATATATAAACACAGAATGTGTAGAAATAGATGTATCATATTACGATAATAATTGACCTCCACACAAGAATTTCAAAACATTTGAGAATCGTAACGTTTAAAATTTTCAAGACTGCGGGTATTTTCGAGACATTGCCCCTAGTAATTGGAGACTTTCGTTACATTGTTAACTGTCAGTATTGTAGAAACGATCTCTTAGATCTAAATTCACAGAAAGGTAGTTTAAGAACTGAATAGTTAACTTCTTAAAGGAAAAATGTTGAAAAGAAGAATGTTGAAAGGAAAATGTAAACTGTGTATGTAGAAATATTCATTAAACTGTTTAATGTTACTTAAAGTGTTAAAGTGTTGTGAAAAACTTGAGTCTATCAATTTCATGTATGTAGCACAATGTAATGATATATCTATGTGATGATATTGGCTATGTTTAGCAGAAAAAGCAATTTTGCAACTTTGTAAGATTTTTTAATATGATTGTCTCTTGCTGTTAGTTCCTCACAGATCTAAATGTATAAACCAATCGTATTTAAAAAATTTACAACAGTTGCAAAACTGCTCTTGATTGTAAAACTTATTTTTCGCATCGGATAACAATGGATTCTTTTATGGTAAATTTTTCTTTATGCATTGTCTAATTAGGAAAAGTAATAAACTTTTTTTAGAAAAATAAAACTACATATCGGGATATATGTGTTCAACATAATCTTCAATATTAATCTTACACACACACAACTAAATGAATAATTTTATTGAGTAAGAATATAATCATCACAACATTATTACACTTATTATAATATTATTTGTTTATAATTATTATTACATTCATATCTATTAGTGAAAAAGATTATTCTAATTGACGAATTCTATTTCAGGTCAACAAACAGTTGGTGGCGCCAACATGCAGAGCCGTACCATGGCCGGTCCTGCAGTCGGTGTCTCGCCCGGTCAGAGCCGTCCGTCGAATTACAAGTACACCGCAAATATGCGCAACCCGCCACAAGCGGCCATGGCTATACCTGCACCTAGTGGTCCTTCTGTGCAACAAGCGGTTCACATTCAGGGCCAAGAGCCGCTCACCGCGTCGATGCTAGCCGCGGCGCCGCCGCAAGAGCAAAAGCAAATGTTAGGGGAACGGTTATTCCCTCTGATTCAATGCATGTATCCACAATTGACCGGTAAGATCACCGGTATGTTGTTGGAGATCGATAACAGCGAACTGCTCCACATGCTGGAGCACAGCGAGTCTTTGAAGGCCAAGGTCGAGGAGGCCGTGGCCGTATTACAAGCTCATCAGGCCAAGCAAGCGGTCGCGCCGAAAAAAGAATAAGCGTCACATCGATAATTTTTATTTATAATTCGTGAGAATGAATTTTGATTGTTTTGAATTTGATTGGATGAATACAGTGTTATCCCTTCATTTATTTTTATTTTTCTGAATTAACCCAATTAATTGTCTAAGTATGATTATGTAACGGATTATTTTCAAAGACGTAACCGGCGACATCGGAACGATTGTCGCTCGGGAAGATATAGAAATGTATGTTCTTTTCACGATGTAAAATTTTAGGAAGAGAAATCTATTCGTATTCGGCGTATCGTCGGACACTTACAATCAGTGGGAATATCCGTTCGCCTAGCGTTTGTTTATCGAGAAGGACAAAGAGTGAAAAGATTTCCAATCCTGAAATTTTATGATAATAAATTTTTTTCTTTCAAAATATACATATGATCAACGTTCAGTGGACGTAACAATTGATGATTTTTTTTTTAAAAGTTGATTGGATTTCATCTGTTAGTTAATTAGATCTGTTAGTATGTAACTGCAGGCAATTGTTGCTTAACGATGTCTACAATGGTTACATCTGCTGAACGTATTTTTATATTTTTCCCATCTCGTATTTCCTGTTCGAAACGAATAAAATCATCTGAATCGAAGAAATTATTAGATAAAATATTTACGTAATGAATTGAACAGAGACCTTATTCTCGAAAAATATTGCATATAAAAATACTATATACGTTATGCATATTATAGATTTTCGTACAAGATATAGAGTCAATAAAATGTACTCTCAGATGTATATATATTTTTTTTTTACAGTACTATAGTATATCTTTTATCTATATATAAAAGATATTAGTTAGCACTGTAAATATAGATATAATATGTTTGTTATACGAGACACTACCGCAAGTAACATGAATTGAATAAATGTGCTTTGATCACTCGTTTGTCACAGTTTATCAGAAGATAGATAAGAGTTACTGATCACGTTACATTCAGAGAATTCATTGCAGCTGTAAAAGAACACTTAGGAGATAACAAGAAGGCAGATACCGATTTTAGCCCTGAAGTTTGATCTTCACTATGTATTGATATATTTTATTGCATCAATAATAAGTTTGGAGATCGCTGTATATGAATAAATTAAATAATTAAAGAAGTACCAGATACGGTAAAAGCTAGATCTTGATGCCTATTAATGTAATATTTTTATGTAAATTTTTAAATACATTTTTCATTTGTATAAACTTCGTGTCGATTATTATCAAACAGTTTATATAAATGAAATATATATTTAAAAATATACATAAAAATATTGTAAGGTGACAAAATCTAGCCTCGACTATATTTCAAGTTTCTTATTTGATTTATATTATCACTTTTGCTCCTCGTTTATCTAAACTTCAGATAAATAAATTATTTTAATTACGTCCATGTCAATGTAGATTAACTTCAATTTCAGTTTAACGTGTTTTGTATACTTTTCTTGTTCTAAAAGTTAACGAGTAAGTTAAACCGAGATTAAAAGTTGATCATTCGTTTGTATAACGTGCTAAACTAAATGATTCTGATCGTATGATTTTTGCGAGATTCCGTTTTTCGAAAGTTCGACTGTCATTGAGAAATACCTTTAGACATAAGAAAGTCAACCAATCAGAGTCTTTTATTTCACGGAAAGGAAGGAATTAAAGACTTCGATTGTTTAATTTCCTTATACACTATGCACGACTCTGTGCTTTCGTCCTGATGGTAAAATTAACTTTAATCTCGATTTAACTTACTGTTTATCTTATTTAATTTTTAGTAAGAATTATGCCGTTTCTACTAATGCAGTTTAATTTTAATTTTGGTTCAACTATTTATTTTTTTCTAAGAATTAGAAAAAAAATGAAGAGTAAGTTGAACCAAGATTAAAGTTAATCTGTATTAGAGAGAGAATTGAGCCTCTCTTAAAAGGAAAGAAAATAGAATAATATATTTTGCAATTAACTTCAAAGATATTTATTTTAACAGAATTTTTAGATACACGAACATAATATAATAAATTTAATGCATTTGATATCCTCTCCCCAAGATTCATTCACCCGAAATTTCTCTACGAATTGAAAAAGAGAAACAAAATTCACACGTATTCTGTTTATTTCTACATGTAAGGGTCATGGCACACAAAAAAACTTAAGCAGTAAAACCTAAAGAAGTGCGCAAAAATAATTTAAAAACAGAAATTATTATCACTTAATCTCTTTCGGCTTATGACTTAAGGGGATGCTGGAGTGACCAAATTATCACATTAGTCGTATAAAATCTTCGAATTAACTGAACGGAATAAAAAATCCTTTTACAGGATTAAAGTAGACGCAAAATTAGGAGGTGATGCAGTCAATTTTTATTCAGTCAATTCGAAGATTTTTATACGACTGTAATGTGATAATTTGGTCACTCCGGCATCCCCTTAAGCCTATTCCACAATGTGCTTTTTGTTTCCTGTTTCTTGCTTTTAGCTATTTTTTACATCTTGTCTTTTTGCTTCTTATCCAGTTTTATATCGCTCGAGATAAAAGTTAACGAACTTCGGAAGAAACAGGAAACACGTAGCAAGAAATACAATTGTTAAAAAGGGGAAAATACGATTGCAAAAGGGGAAAAAGCAAGAAACAGGAAACAAAGAGTACATTGTAGAGGAGGCTTTAAGGCTTCTTAAAGCAAGGTTGTGGACCTAGCCCACCATGTTGCTTTCTTTATTGCTTACGTCTTAAATTTTTTGTGTGCCAGGACCCTAAACCCGACTTTTTATACGTAGCATGCAGCGACCGAAAATGCTATGGGTTAAGAATTTTTCGTGAGGTGACATATTTTCAATCAATTCTCGAAAATTCGAATCATGATGTTCGCTGCTGCAGCGTAAAAAGTGCGTAAAGTCAGCTTTAGATATTTTTATTAATTTGATTCATTGATACGAGGACCAATTTATTGGACCAACCATGCAAGCGTTGATTTTCGAGCGCAAATTCTCATCAGAAAAGGGCGGGAAATCGGAGAAACTCGTATTTTCATTCCCATTTCGAAGGGCCGTGACGCCGTGACCGCGCGGGAGATGCATTCCTCGGATTCCTCGTTCTCTTTTTTTTTTAATTACCCTCCTCTTATTTCGGGGAAGCGGGCACGTGATTGGCGGCGCGTCACGACCCACTTCGGCGAGTGTAGCGAGCGAATCGACTGTTGTTACTGACCGTTGCGCGGGAGAACTGAGAGTGAGCAAGCGAACGAGATCAGTGGAAGAGCGAAAACGAAAGAGATATATAACATATAGACACGAGTGCGCGCCTCTCGTGAAACGTCGACGATTACGACCAGTCGTGTTTCGCACGTCTTATCTGTGGTTTGAGATTCTTTTGATCGTGAAACTATCAAGAAACGAGCATCAATAACATCGGAAAAAAGCGCGTCCGATCAGGTTCCAAACCTGCCTCAGGTTTCTCTCAAATAAACGCTTCGGAGGACGAGCGGCGGCAATCGAGATAACCGAGTTCGTCGTCGTCCAGCACACGACAGCGGCGGTGTCTGCGGCGGCGACGACGACGACGACGACGACGAAGACGGAAACGGCTGACGGCCGAACGAAATCTCGGTGTTCTAAAAAGAGAAGGTATACGTTAATCTCTCACCTCCCCCTCCCCCGCGCTAATGACCCCGTTCTAATAGTCGCCTGGTTCCTCATGGTGTCGTGGCCGACTTGTCGTCGCGGGGTAACCGATACCGTTTCTCTCGTCCCAATCTCGATTTCCGCGGATCGCCGCCGATTCGCGGCATATGGCAGTACGGGAGACGTCTCTCCTCGTCTACGAGGTCGTATTTGTTTACTTGTCGTCGATTCGATCTTGTACCATCGTTCATTCAAGCGACAGTTTGGTGTTTTGATAGTGCACGAACGTCGCAAGTATAAACGCAGACTGCAGTTCGTTTGAGTTTGCCTTTAGTTGCGCGTTTCCGCCGAGTGCGATTTTCAGACATTGAGCTAAAAGTAGGTGAAGGGTACCGGTGATTTAATTAGACGTTAAATGTCTGTCGTGTTTCGTAGACAATAAAAGGTAACAAATGATAAATAATTAGGGAAGGTGAGGTAAAGTCTCAAGTTTGTAAACAAACTTGAGACTGATTTGATGAAATGATGCTAATTATTCAGAAATAGAGGTACTATTTGTTCTCTTGTGGTTTTTCTTCCGCCTTTCTCTTATCTGTAAAGAGAAAATAGCAGCTAATTATATATGAGGAATGCATACACTGAAAAAAATATATTATTATCAGTATTATTTTAATTTAAAATAATTTTGTTTTAATAAAATTTGATTTGTTTTATTAATACTGTTATTGAAAATCAACAAGACTATTTTTAATTAAAATAATGCTGTTGTAACATCATTTTTTTCAGTGTATGATGCATTTCTTTTATCTTGTTGGTTTGCTAGTGATAAGATGACTTCCGTGAATAATTTCTCCTGGTTTATTTTTATTACATTTTTATTATAAGTTTTACTTACATTTATGTTTTACTTTACTTTGAAGAATATGTGTCGACAAAGATCAACTGTATAATTACTAATATATCCAAATATAAAATCCAAATCTAACAAAACATATCTTAGATTTTCTACAATAAGTCGTTACTTAAGCTTAATGGGTTTTCTACAATAAGCCATTATCTAAGTTTTAAGCCGTAAGAAATTGACCATTCACAGTCGAATGTGAGAAGAATAATCGACTATGATTAAACTCAAGTAATGGCTTATTGTAGAAAGCCCCTGTAAGTCTTAAGTCGTAAGAAATCGACCAACCATAGTCAATTATTCTTCTCACATTCGACTGTGAATGGTCAATTTCTTATGGTTTAAGACGTAGGCTCGTATTCATAATCAAGCCTTATATTTAAGGCTTCCTTAAATTCATCTTCAGATGCTCTACGAATTATCTCATTGGTTACTAAGTATCTAAAGATAAATTTAAGGAAGCCTCAAGTACAAGGTCTTACTATGAATATGGTCAGTAATCTCAGGTAATAGCTTATTATAGAAAACCCATTAAGATCACTGTGAACATGTCTTCTTTTG